AAAGGGGCGGTACAGTTTTCTCGTAAATACACTGTGCGTGAACTGCAAGATCGGTGGTATTCTATTCTTTATGATCCAATTATTTCGGCAGAGGCCTCTTGTCGCATGACAGAGCTTGAGCATACTACTCCATATCTTCCACCAAAGTTCAGCAGAACTGGGAGCACAAAAGAAAGTAAAAGTTTGTCTGAGAAGAGAAAAACTGAAAGTGTCCATAGTTGTTACTATGCTTTACGTAAAAGAGTTCGGAATGAACCATTTAACTCCATGGATCTGAGTTTCCTCATTGACCCAACTGGTAACAGCTATATTGGAAATGGAGATGAGCACCTAACTGCAAATGGAATTCTGGAAGATTCCACTGCAAATCATTTGGGATTCGAAAAATCTCAGATGGATATCATTCATCATGCATTTCCTCAAATTTTAACAGATGGTAGCTCTGTTGCCATGGATGATGGTACTGCCCATGGCTTTCATACAGGTCTCCATAATTCACTTGAAGATAATTTTCCCCTGCAGAAGGATAATACAGATGAAGAAATACCTCATATGATGACAGATGATCTTGCTTTTTCTGGGACTGGCTGTGGGATTGAGGAGTCAGGTCAAGACAAGGAATTACCAGCACATGGCATGTTTGAATCTGATGATTTGGCAGGGAGACCCCTTTCTATGTCAGGCCAAATCAACAGTCATCAGGGGCATGCATGTTTGACCTTTGAAGAGAACCAGGTGTTCAATTCACCAATTCCTGAATGTGCTGCTTCATTTGATAACCTTGGATACTCCTCACTCTCGGATTTGCAAAGTTGGAGAATGGTTGAAAGTATTTCTGCCCCTGATATTCCTATTGGTGTCAGCATTAGAGAAAAAGATTTGCATGAAGGAGATAATGGTGATCCTAAAATTTCAAGTACGTCAGGATGTGATGTTGCCCATGCAGATTCCAAGTTGGAATTGCAGATGCCATATCAGGAACAGCAAAGTCCAACTGGTAGCACAGATTGCTATCTGGCAGAGCTGTCAAATTCCTTGTTCAATGAGGAAGAGATGTTTATGAATGATGATGGTAAAGACATGATTGATAAGTCCTATTATGATGGTCTAAGCTCACTCTTGTTGACCTCACCAAATGACATTAATCAAGATCACGTGCTCAATGTTGCAGAGCCAGGTACATCAGTAACGTTAGAATGTCTTAAAAATCCATCTGATTCAGGCTGTGGGGAGCTAGAAAACCATGGGACTACTGATTTTGCTGATATGGATGCAGTTTGCAATTCAGAGGCCCAGATATTAGTTGATATGGCTTACGATCCTCGCTTTCCTGAAATCCGTAATGGAGTTATTTGCTGTGTTTTAAATACAGAGGATACAGAGATCCCATGCAATGATGATATTTATTTACCAAATAAGAGTAACTCATTTGCATCTTCTTCCTTAGCACGGAAGAGTTTGAAAGAATCCGGTAATTCAATTCCTTCATCTAGTAAGGATTTATCTGGAAATAGGCAAAGGAGTGAAGGATATCCAGTCCTTATGCAGAAAGATAAAAAATATCCCAGACATTCAGGCTCAACTTCTCAAATAATAGGATCACAGGTTATGCAAGAACGCAATCAACTTCATCCAGTTGGTGAACATGACACTAAATTTAAGTTTCCTAGTAGTGAAATCCCTCTCATATCCTCTAGAAGCACAGGTGGCAATTCAACTAACGTCAATTCAACAAATGGATGTAAAAGCACTTGCCTGCCTACGATGCTGAAGGAAGAGAATGAAGAAATTGCTCTGTCAAAGGAATCCTTTTTAGAGAAGCCTGCTTTTAGTGCTGGTGCTTACAGAAGCTATCCCCCAAAGGATGTTTGTTGCATTAAGCAGGAACCAGATGTTGCGTCAACAATTCAAAACCATCATGGCTCAAATGCAGAGATTGCGTCTACAGATTTTGCTGCCTTGGAACTGGTAGAAAATCCTTTGCCATCAGAGCCAGAAGAGCTTCCTATTGAGAGTGATGATGATGTACCTTATTATTCAGATATTGAGGCTATGGTAACTCTAAACGCTATCCTTTGATTGTAGGGTTTTTTTTTCTGTTTCTCTCTGGTTTGTATCTCATTGTTTTGTTACTTGTTTTGGAATATGATTCTGAACTAGATTCTTGATATGGATTTGGATCCACATGACCAAGCTTTGTATGATCGGCAAGGTAATTGATATTCTATCCAGTATTTTAAGCACATGGATACACTATCATGAATAATTAATGTATGCCTTGTGCGTGCTTGGCTGCACAGTTTACTTGTTTCTTTCTATGCTATAATAAACATTTTTAACCATAATTGTGGTGATATTTGTCCGGTAATGCATGATAACATCTTTCCGAAACTGTGGAATGTCAAGTATGTTTGATGCTGTGACTTATGATGCTGATATTCTTTCACAGCTAGATCATGTCAAATGTCTTGTAAATATAATGTACTAAATTTTTCCCTATTTGCAGTCTCAAGATATCAGCATGAGGATACAAAGCGATCAATCATAAGACTGGAGCAAGGTGCTTATTCTTATATGCAAAGGGCCATTGTATCTCATGGGGCATTTGCAATCTTCTATGGAAGACATTCAAAACATTACATTAAGAAGCCTGAGGTATTTTGTCCCATAAAATGTTGGACTAATGTGGAAATGAGTATTTTAAATGCTTTCTTTGTGTTGCCTTTCAAATTCAAGAAATTGTTTTCAGTCATGATACTATCGCAGTGAGTCTTTTTTATATGACAATTCCTTAATCAATCAATGGGCTTCTATATCTTAATTGGAATTGTCATGTTAGTTTATGTTGTGGATCATTGTACTGTTTTATGGCGGCAAGTGATCATGAGGATTGTTTTGTTCTCTTAGCAGTCAAGAGTATGCTTCAAAACTAACTCATTCAGGCAGTTCATTGTTGTTTGCCTGAAACTTCTCCCAAAATTTTTCCCCACCCTAGAGGGGCTTTACTTTTGGTAATTTCTATTAGACATTTTAAACTTACAAAGTTGGCGGTCAACTCTGGTTTTTTTCTGGAACAGTTTCTGAAGTCAAAGTAAGGTTCAAATCAACTTATAGTGGTAGATTAGTGATGCAAATTTATCATGAGTCATTTTAACCATGCAGGTTTTACTTGGTAGAGCAACAGAAGATGTTGTTGTTGACATCGATTTGGCAAGAGAGGGGCGCGCTAACAAAATATCTAGACGGCAGGTTGGCTTGTTGTTATTTAATCTGACTTATACTATTAATATTTCCAGCACCACAGGCACTTGCCATGAATCTGGTGTGCATGGAGGGGTGACTGGCTATTTTTAACAATATAAAAGGGACATTAGCTTTAGCCTGCACACTTTCTTTCTTGTGTTTTGTTTTTACTTCAACTTGCAATTGACTCTTTTTTTCCTTTTTGTGGGTTTCATTTAGGCAATTATTTATTTGGACAAAGGTGGATCTTTCCGTCTCAAAAATCTTGGCAAGTTTTCTATTTCAGTAAATAACAAGGAAGTTGCCCCTGGACAGAGTTTAGACCTTATTTCCGGTTGTTTGATTGAGGTTTGTTCCTATTGTACCCTATGAAACAACATACTAATAATTTTCATTTTGAATGGCTTTTGTTTTTGTTTCACTTTTTATCTGTTTATGCTGTATAACAACTAATAATAGACAACTGATCATATGGTAAAGTCCCATCCGTTATATTGGTATTGAACATTAATATATCATATCATGTCTTCCTGCTATACTGTCTCTCAGTTGTTAATGCAGACAAAATTAGTGATATCCTCAAAACTAGGTGATATCATGTTTTGTTGCTCAGGTTTGGAAGTGATTGTAGGACCTTTGTTTGATCCAGTAATTATGTTTCTACTGTCTCCAGTAGTTTATATCATGCTGGGGCAAATAGATGCCACCTAAAATTTTCAGTCATGACCAAAACCCCTGATATTGTTTCAGGTTGCATTAGGCCTGTAAGTTGTCACTTTGCCTCAAAATCCTGTGCCAAGTTGCTTGTCAAGCAAACAATATAATCCTGGGAGAAGTCTTACTCTTCTATCTGTTTCCAGGTTAATTTAATGGCCTAGTCATTCTAGTATGATCCTTGTAAACTTTCCTTGGTTAGGGGACAAATATTGCACAAGTCCACATTATAATTGAATAACAAGGTCATCAACTATAAGTACTCACTGATTTAGGTTTTTAATGAGCTGGATATTCCAAGCCACTCGATTTTCCAGATTAGACTCCACTAACTCATAAACTGCAGCATCTTCATTCCTGTTCAATGCAAAAGAGACTAGAAAAATGAATGCTCAACAGTCTATATTACCTTTCTGTTCCCAACATTGAACCCCACAAGATTAAAAAAAGATTTGCATCCCTGCATATCCATCTCCGTAAGCTGAGACCATAAGGATGTTTACTAATTACGTCCGCCAGCCCTTCCCTTCGACCCTGTATTTCGGTTTTATCACCTCCCATAAAAAATGGCCTTTGCATGTCATAAACAAAAATGCCTTTATATGTGAGGTTTTATTTCTGAAAACAAAAAAAGATATGTGAGAGGTTTATGGGTATGGTAGGTGAAGGGTTGGGATCACAAAATTTAGTAGCTTGAACCTCAAGAGATTCAATTAGATCACTAAGAGGACTAATTAGAGAGGCAAAAGAACTTGGAATGTGATTTTTTTAATTATGTAAGTCATCTTCATCACTTGATTACTCAGTGGATTGTTTAAATGGTATGACATTTCTAAAATAATGTCTTAAGTTTCACCAAAACCAAAGATATAGGTCATGCCAGGAAGTAGTGGCAATCTATCCAACAAAAGGGAATCCACCTTCCTAACGACCATTTTTAGTTGCTTCTTTGAGACGTTACTGAATATGCAACAACTGAGTGATACTATAGCTGGTTACATAAATTGGTTGAGGAGCTCATACTTAGACATGGATTGAGGAAAATCTTTTTACGCGATTAATAGGTTCGTCAAAGGTTAATGCAGAAATTAAAAAGAAAGCCTGCTTGTACTATCCCAAATCTTTAGAAGAATATTTGGAGGCACTTGAAATAGAAAAATACTTCAAATTTTCTAGTACTCGAAAAGCATCCTCTTTCATTGGAAAGTCCGCTTAATCTAAGTTGGTTTCTCAATCTTTTTCTATAGTTGAACCTGTTATCTGCTAGACAACTATCATTCCTTGACCTAATGCGTTCCTAGTGGATTAAGTGGTTCTTCAATTCAATGTCATTATTGTGCTGAGAAGGATCAAAGAGAATATTGGGATCCAACCTACCAATGTAGGAAGTAATAGAAGTCATAGCCTTGATAATCTCTTGTTCTTTTCTCATCTCAAACATAATTTCAATTTTCATAATGAGACTTTGACTAGTGCATTTTGAATTGTAAGATTAGAAATGTTGCTTTATTCCTTTGGTTTTTACATAATCATTTAGCATAGAACCCTTAGTTGGTAATCAAGGGTTTTTGATGAGTTCTAGCATCTGTATTCTTTTAGATTAAGTATTTTTTTGGTTGCAGGGGTGGGGGGGGGGGGGGGTGTTAGAAGTTTTGTTCTCGAATCTAAATAAATTTTATGTATTCGTTGGATGATGAAGTTCCTTTCACGATCCATCAAAGCAAACAAGATTTATATAATATATAATATAACAATTATATGTTACTAATCTACACAAATTCAAATTAGTTGACCTGGGTTGCTGCAATTCTGGAAGTACATTCTGTGATATTCTTGGTTGTAAAAGGTCGTCCCTTCCCATTACTTACCTGGATGTACCTTTGGGATCCAAAAAAAATGACAAAAGAGGCTGGGAACCGGTGATTGAAACGTTCAACAACAGATTAGCTACTTGGGAGAAAGAAATTTCTGTCCAAAGGAGGTAGATTAACACTCATAAAGAGAGTGTCTCAAATCTGCCTATCTATTATCTATCTGTTGTTAATATTCCCATAAATGTTGCCAAAAAATTGGAAGCCATCCAATGCAATTTTTTATGGGGTGACAGTGAAAACAAGAAGACATATCATCTTGTTAAGTGGTCGGACGTTAAGAAACCCTTGAGGGAAGGTGGTTTGGGGCTGAGATCCTTGATTAAACTAAACAAGGCCTTGCTTGGGAAAGGGATTTGGAGATTTTGGAATGACAACAACAGTTTATGGAAATTGGTTATCAACTGCAAATGGTTTAAAGGCAATCCTCATGATCTTTCACATATTCAGAACAGCAACTATGGCACTAGTATGTGGAAGAACATAATTAAATTGAATGATTCTGTTTTTCATTGCTCTAAGTGGTCTATTGGGAATGGACAAAAAATCCATTTCTGGGATGATATTTGGTGCGGAACTGAGAAATTCAAAGATTGATTTCCCCATAGCTACACTATCGCTAAGAACAAGCATGCATCTATTTGGGATGTTGCTGGTTTGGCCGGCCAAGCTTCTTGGAATGTCCCGGTCGTGAGAAATCTTAATGATTGGGAGCTGGAAGATTATGAATCTCTGCTTCTTACATTGGCCAGCATTACTCTTATTAATAGAAATGACAGATTAATTTGGAACCTCAAAAAGAATGGATTATTTGTTGTCAATTCATTGTATTGCTTTTTGGATGGTCAAAACCAGAATATTCAATGAACTTTTCCATCCAAGATAATACGGAAATCTGGTGCTCCTCCAAGGATATCATTCTTTGCTTGGGAAGCTGCAAAGGAGAAGATACTCACACTTGATAATTTGATGAAAAGAAGCCACACTATTGTTAACAGATGCTTCCTTTGTAATCACCTCCTTTTGAAATGCCTTACTACTCGGAAACTTTGGAACATGATCCTAGGACTGTTGGGGTTTTCTTGGGTAATGGCTGAAAATGTTAGCTCGGAATTGACGGCTTGGGAGGGTCTAGACAGCAGCAATAAGTCCACCAGACTCATTTATCTTACTACTTTTTGGGTCATATGGAAGGAAAGAAACAACCAGGCTTTCGAAGGAGTTGAATCTGATTTTAACATCATCAAGGATAACTGGTTTAACTATTTTGGCTCTTATATTTTAGGGTATAACGTTGATTGTTTTGACGATTTAGGTGATATTGTAGATATGCTAACCGTGATGTAGGGTAAAATACAAGTAGGTCCCTAGGTTTTAAGTTTAGTTACAATTAGGTCCATTAGTTTAAAAAATTACAACCTATTCCTTGTATTTTGAATAAATATAACAACTCAGTCTAAGAAATCATTAATCACTGTTAAAAATACAGATTAATCTTTTTTCCTGAGGAGCATATACAAAAAACTTACAGAAAAAACACACAAAATCTTGAAGAAAATTAAATAATTTTAACCAAATTGGATAGTGGTTTTGGAGAACTGCAATTGGAGAGCCTTGTCTGTCCAAAGACAAGAAAGCTTACCAGCATCCCCTGTTCATGTAGAACGAATCATATTCAGGAGGATTGTGAACGACATCCTTCAATTGTTCAAGAAACTACTTGGAGATATGACAGATATAGCTGAAGAGATAGAAACTTGGCAATATTGGTTGCTGGCAGTGGAATACAGTTGATGCTGGGATGGTTTTATGTGGGAAGAACGACAATGGTGTTACTGGAAGAAGGAAAAACAGTTGTGAATTAGAGAATGTAGGATAGAATTTTTAAAATTGTTGGATCGAATTTTAGACTTTTGCTTGAATAACACCAATTTTTTAAGAGACCTCTATTTCCTACTAGCTTTCTAAGATGTTATTATAAAAGCTTACGAGCTACGTAATGA